AAGCACTCTTCCAGAATTGGAAACACTCTGTGTTATAAAGCAACCAAATATTATCTTTTGAAGGAATCTAATCTATCCAGAAGGGATAGAATATCATTTATTTGTTGCTGTTGTGGATTTGATTAATTGAACAATTGTTGGTGGAATAACTAAGTGGTAATATTTCTTTAGGCCATGCTGTAAATTTATATTTATGATGAATAATAATAGAACCGTTATTTAACCAAATCAATTTGTTTTGGATTTCAACTGGTCAAGACGCCTATCTAAACTATCTGGACAGTGTTATTATTCCTCAATCCAAAATCTCAGTTTAGATCCTACAGAGTAAACAAATGAATAAGCGATCTAGAGTTACTCATGAGATGGTGGAGAAAACTTGTAGCTCAGGTGGACTCATTGCCGAAGCTGTAATGCAAAGACTGGAAGCGTCGATTTTGCTAGTGATCAAGCCAAAAATGTGGGTTCGCTATGTAGACGACACATTCGTTATTATCAAAAGGAATGAGCTGGAGAACATCTACAATCGGATCAACAACGTCTTCGATGACATTAAATTCACGATGGAAAAGGAATCAAACAACAGCCTATCATTCCTGGATGTACTAATCACCAGAACTAACACAGGAAAACCAGAAACTCAAATATGCGGAAGCCAACCCACACCGACGTAATTCTCAACTACGACAGCAACAACCCAAGAACCCACAAGATTAACTGCATACAAACTCTGTTCAAGAGAGCGAAGACACACTGCAGCACATATGAAGCATTAAAAAACGAGGAAAAACGCCTGATGACTATCTTCCAAAAGAACGGCAATCCACACAACTTCATCAAAAAACCTTAACCGAAACCATTATCAGAAGTGAAATCAAACACAGGAACAAATAAACGCATCATCCTGCCATACATCAAAGACATATCGGAGCATACAGCTTGACTACTGAAACCATTTGGAATTGGTGTGGCATATCAATCAACAGAATCACTTCAATCAATCCCATGTAGACCAAAGGACAAAATGACAAAGGAAGAAAAACCAAATACCATCTACAAAATAAATTGCTCAAACTGTGAAAAACATTACATAGGATAAAGTGGACGGCCTCTCCAGCTTCGTTTACGTGAACATCGATTAGCAGTCAAACACCAAAACAACGCTTCGCTTATATCAATACACACTGACAATTATGGATATACATTTGATTGGAACAATGTGGAAATACTGGATAGGGGAGGACAAAGTACACTAGAGAATTTTTAGAAGCTTGGCCCTCAGGTTAATCAATCAGCAATCAACAAACACATCGACATGGATCCAATTTATCAACCAATCAGAAAAATCTTGGCTGACATAGGATCAAGAAACAGATCAAAAGTGGGAATGCAATCAAAACAAAGTTGCAAACAACGACAGGTCAAAGGTCAACAGCAACCAATCAAGATCGAGGTTAGCAGAACAAGCTACAGGTCAAACGTGGAGAAATTCGAATGCCTCACTTCTGCTATCTGAAGTTTGTGCTGATGATGATGTTGTTCAGTAGAAGAAAAATGAAATCTCCACAACCAAAACACCCAGCTCAGAGAACCAAATACCACTACACAGTTACTCATTGTTTGTTTTAAATTTAATTATACAGAAAAGATAATTCAGGTTTCAACTAGTAGTAGAAAGTAGTCGACCTTCGTTTTATTTTTTATTTCAGTCATACACCACTCTCATTCTTATTTTGAATTAATCATTAAAAAAACTGGACAATTAAAAATTCATTTTTCAAAATTCAACAAGTAAATTAATTAATTACTTGTAATTTTTTTGTTGCAATCAAGATGAACTAAACAGAAACTAAACGAAAAACACTTTTCATCATTGAAAACGTATTCATTTTTTTTCTTTGCTTCTGTACAATTAATTTTTTTGTTTCAATTAATCCATTGAACAACAACAACAACTTGTTGTTTTATCAAATCAATTGTAATCAAAATAAACAGCGCGGAAATTTTAAACTAAATGAAAACGCACACACACACACATATTTATTCATGAGTGGGTGGGTGGATGGATGTGTAAGTCAGTGGAAAATAAGGCGCCGGTTTATCTGTTTTTTTTTCTATTTGTTTATATTTACGAATAATTAGTGAAAAATAAATAAACATTGGAAAATTTTGATTCCCTTTTTTTTTTTAATTTCTTTGAACCGATATTCCAATAACAATCTATCTCAATCATTATTTTTTCTATTACACTGTTAGTTTATTTTCATAATCGTAGATACAAATGAATACAAGTGAAAGTAAAGAGAGTAAACAGTGGGTAATATAACAAGTGCAACACGATGGAATTCATATGTATAAATAATCAAATAAAACTCAGATAAATAGAAACCGAATTCACATCAAGATTATCTCAACTGAATGAATTTGGATTATTTTTTGAAATAGTTGAAAATGTGTAATACGTTTTTATTCATGATGCTGTTCAACTTGAACAATGAGAATAATGATAATATAGTTGGTTGTAGTGTAGTGTAGTGTAGTGAAGACATTAACAACACCGTTGGGTGCCGACTCAGCGGTCCGGGGGTTCTGGCGTTCGCGCACAATATCAAAGGTCCCGGGTTCGAATCCTGCTGGGTGCACTGCTGAGGAGTCTCATATCAGGACGAAACGGACGTCTCTCAGTGCTTTCAGGTTTCTCTAATGGTGATAGTCTAACATTGATCGATTCGTGTTTTCAAAAAAATGTGTAACTTAACAATCTTCACAACAACCCCGTAATGCAAATTACCTTTGCTCACTAGTGACGACTAGCTTCGTAAGGAATCTTCTCCGAGTTTTAGTGTGAAAAAGACGTGGCCAGTGAAGTTCAACCTGTTTGGATGTAGACAGTGTATGAGGTTGCGCAACTCCGTGAATTGATCAAGTTAGACATTAACACCGTCAGATACCGGCTCAGTGGTCAGATGGTTATGCGTTCGCCTACAATTTTGAATGTCCTGGGTTCGAATCCTGCGGGATGCTGGGGTCGTGGATGCGCACTCCCACTGAGGAGTCCCATACTAGGACGAAACGGCCGTCTCTCAGTGCTTTTAGGTTTCTCTAATGGTGGTATTCTATCATTGATCGATTCATGGTTTCAAAAATGCCTAATCATAAACTAAGTTCAACTAAGTTTCATTTGTGTATAGCTTTTATATTGTCATTTGACCATTTACGTGAATAAATAAACTGGATTGTATTTTTTTGTTTGCATCATTCTAAACACATAGGGTTATGCATGGAATGCTGATACACTATCATGTGAAAGTATTGATCCATGCAAACTTGATCAAATATTAGCTGGAAGACAGAATGAAGTTGACAACAATAAAGATAGATTATGTGATCCCAGAGGAACATTACGATGTATTTATACATATTATCCTGATGCAAATATCTCTGAGCATCAATTAAGGGTTCGTTTACATTATTCATGTGTATGTCATCCTCAATATATGGGCTATCGTTGTGACCGGCTAAGAAATGCATGTATAGAGGTAAGTTGAACATGAATCTATCTACGCTGTGATAATCATATTGTTTGTGGTGTTTTGTAAGTTATATAGCATGTTGCTCAGTACTCCATGTCACTCGGTTCACACACACACACAGATTGCCAGAACACATTTGTTACGCATGAACGTTAACATGTCATTTTCATATGCTTGAATTATTATTACGAGTTTACCTTAGTTGGAAAACCAGAGCGAGGATCGAGAATCCACCGACACGACATGCTACTCAAATCCGAGTGTCCCAGTCCCCATTGAATAAAAGAAGAAGACTTGATATGAAGTAGAACCTGTATTCTACAAGCATTCAGAAAGTACGACGTCCGAGTCCAGAAGAGAATCACGATCCCAAACTAGGGTTCCGGGTCCAGGTCATAGAACGTTACAAATAATGCGTATTGATACATTTAAGTCGAATAAGAACCAATATGGAAGTCTGTGACATCGATACTTAGGACGTCCAATGAGAAACATCATTTGAAGTGACATTGACAGTTAGTTAGTACGACCAATAGAAGACAACACTGAAGTATGTGACATTGATAACCTAGGACGACCATAATATTGACCAATAGGAATTGACCAATAGAATTCGACTTACAAAAAAATAGTTCTCTTAGGATATTTGATGATGAACATCCTCATGTTGAACCACAAATATGCACCATCATTTCGGAATATACAATAAATTTGCAAATGAAAGATTAGTTTTGTTTCATGATTGACAAATAAACGAAGAATAATTAATTTAATGTCAAACGGAATGTATAATTGGTAGATGTTAACTTAAACATTAAATAAATAAGGCAAGACAGTTGGTATTTTCGGAAATCAATGGATTCGTTTTATTTTTGTTGCTTTTCTCTTTACTTACATATACAAGTTAATGTGTTTGATCATGTTCAATTATTAACATAATGTTGAAACTGAATTCTTAGTTAATAACAAACAAATCATATGTAATGCAAATGGGGTCTAAATATCAAAAATTTCACAGGTTGTTCATTATATAATTACTTGAAGCGTTACTTACTTACTTACTTAATTACTTGCTTACGCCTGTTATCCCCAATGCAGCATAGGCCTCCCACCAGTTTTCGCCAACCAACTCTGTCTGTCCTGGGCTTCCCTCTCCAGTTCTGTCCAATGTTTGTTCATTCTTCTCATATCTTTCTCTATTTCTCGGCGCAATGTGTTCCTTGGCCTTCCTCTTTTCTGCTGCCCTTGAGGGTTCCATGTGAGGGCTTGTCTCGTGACGCAGTTCGGTGCTTTTCGTGGTGTGTGTCCTAACCACTTCCACCACTTCTTCTTGATTACCTCCTCCACTGGAATCTGGTTTGTTCTCCCCCAAAGTACGTTGTTGCTGATTGTGTCTGGCCAACGAATACGAAGTATTTTGCGTAGACAACTGTTAATAAACACTTGAATATTCTGAATGATGCCTTTCGTAGTTCTCAAAGTTTCCGCTCCATACAGTAGAACTGTCTTGACATTTGTATTGAAAATGCTGATTTTGGTTTTGGTTGAAAGTTGTTTGGAGTTGCAGATATTTTTAAATTGTAGAAATGCTGTACTTCCTTTGCCAATCCGCACCCTCACATCTGCATCGGATCCACCTTTCACGTTGATGATGCTGCCAAGACATGTCGAGGTGTTAACGTCCTCCAAGGCATCTCCATGAAGAGTGAGTGATTTGGTTGGTGCATGTTGTGTTGCATCGGAGAATTTTGCTTTTCCCCTTATGTATGTTGAGACCTACTGCTGCAGAGGCTGCTGCTACACTGGTCGTCTTCTCTTGCATTTGTTGTTGCGTGTGCGATAGAATAGCCAGGTCATCTGCGAAGTGCAGATCGTCCAGCTGCATCCTACACGTCCATTTGATACCGTGACTCCCTTCAGATGCTGACGTCTTCATAATCCATTCGATGACCAGGAGAAAGGGAAAGAGAAATGGTGAAAGTCAGCAACCTTGCCTCACGCCGGTCTTCACCTCGAAAGAGTCTGTTATCTGTCCTTCATGTACGATTTTGCAGTTGAGTCCATCATAAGAATTCCGTATGATTTTGACTATTTTCTCAGGCACACCGTAGTGTTGAAGAAGCCTCCACAGTGTTTTCCGATCCATGCTATCGAATGCTTTCTCGTAGTCGATGAAGTTGATGTAGAGTGGTGAGTTCTATTCAATTGACTGTTCCACAATGTAGCAATTTGGTCAGTACATGATCGATCCTTACGAAATCCAGCCTGTTGATCTTGAAGTTGGGCGTCTACGAAGTCCTTCATTCTGTTTAACAATACTCTGTTGAAGAGTTAGCCTGGAATCAGATAATTTACTATGTGAAATAACCAAAAAAATTAGAAGTTTAGAAAATTTCAAAAAAAAAATGTTTAAGTTCACTTCATCAAATTCTATTCACAGTCAATGGATCAAAAAGAGGTCATCATTTTACCATGTTAGTTGAAGGTTAATTAATAACGCATTCCATCAATATATAAAGGTCAGGGTTATTTAAACCTTCTAGTTTTTTAAATGGCATCCAGGAATTTTAAAGACAAGAAAAAAATTTCAATTGTTTATCTATGACTTTGAATGAATTCATTAATTTCACATTGTGCATCGTGTTTCATGGATTGGGATGCTATTGAACTATCATCCTCAGTAACTTTCTCCTTAATGATAGAGTTTGTTGGAAATATGATCATTACAACTAGTGAAAGATCGTTTTTCCGTTCCTTCTAGAATGTATTGTAGTGAAGGAGAACACAGGTAAGAGCAACCGAATTGTATTTATTGCAAATTACAGAGGTATTTGGTAAAATAGGAAAACCATATCGTAAACTGTTAATTTGCAAAACATCAATCCATTGTCTGACATTTCCCTATTCATGCGTTTCATAGAAATTCCATTGTGTTCCCACTCTTCCTTTCTTGATCTTCTCACATCTTCTGCTGCCAGACTTTACGTTTTTACTCGCGTCATGTTCTACTTATAAGTAGCGCGCACCACAGTATGCCTATGCGCAGGCATTTAAAATGATAGATGCAGGTGGAGTTGACGAATGAAAGATATTTAATTAATTTTCGTTATAAGTCAAAAACTAGAACTGTTCAGTTATTCGATGTGTAAATTCTCCAAACGACATTATTTCCGGTATACGGAAATCTTTTATTTACGCTCTTCTTACAATGTATTTCATGTACTCGATATTTTTAACATTGTAAAATGTTACTTTTGATATTTCATCAGTATTTTTTTGGGCGCTTATTTTTAGACTGCAAAACACCATTCACTTCTATTTCGGTAATCTAGGAAGTTAAGCATTCACTCGATTGATCAAGGGTCTTGAGTTGGATCCGCATTACTAGGTTCGTGCAGACGCACAAACTGAATAGTCATGAACTGTAAAAGTAATAGCTGTCCCTCGCTTCCTGTTTATCAATGATGGTCAATCCAAGATCAGTCAGCGTCGTTATACAGCAAATAAATATTCATTCGATTCGGTCATTGGCTGTTTTAACGGTCTGATAATGGTGCAAAGACATTTGTGCCATACAGGTAACTGAAATTGTTTGTGCGCTGGGATAGTGCCCCGGGTGCCTAAGTCGAAGCACGTGACTTTCTTAGTGGGCCACTCTTTATAGCCTTTACCTACAGGTCTAATCTACAAGGAAGTGGGATAACATTAGCAGAAGCGGTCCGATGATAGACAGTGGCTAACAATAGGTTTCTTATTCCATTTGCTGCCACAGGATACTGATTTTCTTGTGTAGATTTGGTTTGCAATGAGGGTTTTCGCAACTCCCGTAGGTTGATCCTCCGTACCCGTCAAAATGGTTTAAGCCTGGATCCAACATTCGGTCTCACTTCTCTCAATTTTGTAAACAAACATTTTCACCTAGATGGAGTGGCTATACATAGGTTGCCAATATGAGAGCAATTCGACGGGGAGAGTGGACTATCCTAACTCTCGTCCATACCAGGATATTCGTGGGCTTTAGAATGAAGCAATGTTTCATAACAACTGTATATTTATTTTCTGAGTAGTAAAATTACTTGTTTAATATCACTGAATTACACAAGCAAAATTTAGGAACCAAAATTGATGAACAGATCAATGTTTGAACACAACTAGAAACCTGAAAACATTGGATCGCGATTTCTTCCTTATATTGGTGTCACTGCTCAGCAGTGCGCATATTCACTTCTCCAAGCTTTAAGCCAACACAGAACCGGTGACTCTGCGCTCGAACGCTCAATCTCTCGATTCCCGCCTTTAGAGTGATGAGCGTTCATTACCAATGAATTCCATACTAAGACTAACCGACTGTCCAATGGTTTCTAGTTTCTCAGGGAAGTCCAACATTGATTGTTTCATGATTTCAGTGAAACTCAGAAATCTTCAAAACCCAATAATGACAAATGCATTTTACAATATTCCTCTTAATTATTCGACACCAGGGTTTCTTTTACATAAACCACCGTTTTTTGTTCGACGGTAACCATGATGAATGATACTACTTCTGATAAGCGATACTACTGCTTACTGTGTATACCTACATAGTTTGTGATCAAGACAGCAAAGTTAACTTGAATTGGTTAGTCGAATTCATCTAAATATTTATGTTCGGATGATGTCAGTCTTCAAATTTGTCAGGATATTCATCAAATATCCTAAGAAAATAGTTGGTCAGTTTCTGTTGGTTAATTTCTACTGGTCAATTTTACGATCGTCCTAGATATCAATGTCACGTACTCCAATGTTGTTTCTTATTGGTCGTCTTAACTGTCAATGTCACAGACTTCAATACCCTTCCTATTCGACCTGATTCTCTTCTGGACTCGGACCTCGTACTTTCTGGATGCTTGTAGAATACAGGTTCTACTCATATCAACTCTTCTTCTTTCATTCAATGGGGGTTTGAGACAATTGGATTAGAGCAACATGTCGTGTCGCAGGATCCTTGATCCTCGCTCTTGTTCACTGACTAAAGTGAACTCGTAATGGTTCAAGCATATCAAATGACGTGTTTAAGTGCATGCGCAACAAAATTCTTTCATGACTCAATGTTTTTTCATTTATTTTTAACTTCTATCCGAAGTTTGTGCTCCACAGCCGAAACATCCAGCTCAGAGTACGAAACACCACAACACTCATCCACCTGGGCTACAACAAATTTTCCCCACCATTGTAGAGCTTGTGGTGGCCGATTGTCATCGTGTTCTTAAGCGTCATAATTGGCTGGTCACCAAATAACACCTGACGGTCATAAATCAGAAGGCGAATACGGAGTGTCGAATTCATTTTATTTTTAGCACACCACAAACAGACAGGGCACAGACACACTAGCGGGCGAATGGACGAATGAATAGATGAGGTGAATGGGAGAAGGCTAGTGGACCAAACTCCCTGTCGATTTCGTGTTGTGATAAAAAATAAACGAATTCAATACTTCGTATTTGCCTTCTGATTTATAACCGTCAGGCGCTATTTGTTAACGATGATTGCTTAGACGAGCAAATTACGAAGACTAAGACCTTCAATGCAGCTAATCTGAGGCTTATCACAACAACCCAACCGATCTCAGTTACCCCAATCAAGTCTCCAAGACCGATTCAGTCCTAATCCCACTGTATTTACCGATTTACATGTAACTGAGGAGAAAGTTACTTAGGTAGGACAGATCGCCGATTGGAAGACAGGATAGGAGAACATATTCCAAAATGGCTAATCAAATCCATGATTATTCAACCTAGCCCATCATTTCAAAATCGATTAAGAAACCCAGCCTCGTCCATTGCAAAACATCTAATGATGAGTGGTCATCAAATTGACCCAAAATCAGCCTTTATAGAGTCGTGACATGTCATCAAAATCCACACACACTCAAACTACTCGAAGCTATCTTGATTGGTCGGATAAGTCCAACTTTATGTGCTCAAAAACAACTGTATGTTGACCTTTGTTTACCATAGTTCTAGTGAGTGAATAATATCATGCTAAATAAGAAATTTTGACCTTATCTTCAAAACTGTATTTACACAAATAACATGTTGCTTGTATGTGACTGACGAGAAATGGCACACGAAATGGTACTATCTCACAAAATATATCTTCTTATTTCTTTATTCAAATTTATCAAAGGGACCACTGTTTTGACTAAGAACACGTTGAAAATCGGCCACCAGCACAAGCTTACCTGCGTGCATAAATTCCAATCTATCGGCGTCTCGTTTTACTAGTGGATATACTTAAGAAGAACGATTTGAATGGAGTGGGTGGTTAATATCTGAGAAGATATGAAAGTTGCTAAGAGTTTGCAAAATTTCAAATGCCTATCCACAACCGTATTCAAAATGACCTTATTAGATTTCTCACACTCCTTACTAGTTGCTTTCAGCACTCTCCATCACACGATGAATTCACTTCTCCAAACGAAACGGCTAAAGCGAAGTCTTAATAAGCATAGAAAGCATATTCTACAAAAACCCAGCAAGCACACAATATAATCAAGCACACAACTCTCGTTTATTTATACATCATAGAAACGTCCTAGTGGGACAGTCACAAGAATAGCACACTAAAATACACAGCAGCCAATCACACAGCCATGGATTTCCCTGGTGGGAAATGAAGTCTCAAGGTCAACTGATCAGCCCATGCTGGCAAACGTGAAATCCAAGATAAGGCATTTATCAGGCGAGTTCTGGGGATCTGACCTGCCCAACAGAAAGGAAGTCAAAATGAAGAAAATATTATTGTGCTAAAATTTGAATCTAGATTATGATTGCAAGTTGATCAATGATCACGGGACGTCTTCAATACATTCTTGATTTTGTTTTATTGATGTTAAATTTAAGGGTATATGTGGTGTGTGCTACTTATACGAACGATATAAGTAGTATAAGAATGTGGACGTGAAAGAAGTCTCACCACGGTCAGAAGAGGAAAACGGACAGAAATTGGAGCAAAAGCAAGAAGTAAATGGAGTACCAACAGAGGTAGGGAAGGAAGAGCAACAACAGGAATGGAAGAAGGCTGGAGTGTTGGAAGTCAGGACTCAAAGATGGTGTGCAAATAGAGTGTTCAATGTAGTGTTTTCGTTTTCGTCTTGTTGGGCAATTTCTCTCCCAATGTCCGGTTCCTCGGCAAATATAGCATTTATTATTATTTCTTCCACCCTTTATTCGTAACGCCGCCACCACGCGTTGTAATTCTTCTATCTTCTTCGCGACACCATCAGCCTGTCTTTCACACGCCACCGAGGCGACTGTGGAGTTCATCAGTCTCAACTTTTGGGCAACCTCTGTAGGTATCATGCAAATTTACTCTCTGAGTAAGTTATAAACGACAACATTACATTGAACACTCTATTTGCACACCATCTTTGAGTCGTGACTTCCAACACTCCATCCTTCTTTCATTCCTGTTGTTGCTTCCTTTCCTTCCTGTTGCTACTCCATTTACTTCTTGCTTTTGCTCCATTTGTTTTCTATTTTCCTCTTGTGACCGTGAGACTTCTTCTTTCACGTCCCTTCTTATACTACTTATATCGTTCGTTTAAGTAGCACACACCACATATATATTGTAAGTTGGCTGTTTCATTCTTTACACATTATGTGAATGAAGTAAGCGGATTTTTTCACTTTTAGCGTATGAAACTTTCGAATTTATCTGAAAAAAACGCATCTCATTTTCAACTTGGAATTCTATTTATTTGATTTGATTTCAGAATAGTTCACCTGATCGTGTGCCTGGCAATGAAGCATGTCGTACATATTTAGGCAATAAATGTTGTTCCATAAACGGTACCAATTATTATAGATGTGATTGTGTTGGGCATTACAAACATTCACGAAATTATCCTTTCTACAATTGTTATGAACACAGAAGTATTTGTGACAGTGTAAGTTGCTTTATTTATGTTCAAGTATGAATGATATCATACTTCTTCTCTTTATTGATTTTACACCATAAGCACGATTATAAATATGTGTATTGAAGACAATTACCATTTTTGAACGACATTCCAGTGCAGGTTAATTAGCTTTCAAGGATTATGTATTTGATTGAAAGCTGTGACGTAAATGATTAAAGTAATTCGTTGATATACAGTTTATGCAAGCATTTTCGGGATGCGATTCTAGCCCCCCGTCCACCCCGAAATGCAAAATATTGCTTCAGGAATGGGTTGCATCGGCATCTGAACTAGTGAAGTAGTTTTGAGCGTGTTGGCCGTCTTACTTATCTTCAGGGTCTCATCAGTGCTGATGGCCTGGTGGCTGACTAAAATCTCAACGCAAATACAGAAGGCTAGATTGGCTATCGCCTACTTACGTCACTTATTGCGTAGGCGAGACATCTGTCTGCTAATCAAAGGACGAGTGTACTGTGCTTATGTTGGGACTACTGAGTAAAAAATGCGGCTGTAACGAAACGGGTACTAGATGAGGCTGGCAGATGAAGTATTGGAACTTCATTAGTTGAGGTGGTTGGGAAATGTGTTACAAATACTCAGTCACCGACTGCCGCGACTAGCAATGTTTTATGGTGCAGGCGTAGGTTAGAAGAAATGTAGGAGCGGCCAAACTAAAACATGGCAGAAATCCATGAAGTCACTGACAAGTGGACTGTGTCGTGTTGGTAGATGTAGACTACTTGGGTTGTGGTCAGCGACGGAATGGTAATCTATAGTTAGAGATCTTGAATCACATGACTCAAAACCGTTTTTAGTGGCGAAGATGCATCCACTCTTTGTGTTCTCTTGAATTCCAATATTCTGAATTCCTCAAGTCCGCTTTTTCTCATTTTCGGAATTGATTCCTCTAAGGCATACATCTGGAATGTTATATTCGATCATTTGTCCATTTGATCACTGCTAATAACCCTACTACCTCTACTACTAAAGGATTTGAATTGACAACTGCGTTTCTGTGCTAATATGATAACGCAACTTGAACTGATGCTTGTAGGTACGCCGTTCTATTACGATATAAAACATTATGACGTTACATTCGCCAGATTTCATTTTGTTATTATATTTCTGAAACAGTGGTTCCCTTTGATAAATTTAAACAGAGAAATGAGAAGACATATTTTGTGAGATAGTGGTACCATTTCGTGTACCATTTCTCGTCAGTCACATACAAGCAACATCTTGTTTGTGTAAATACAGTTTTGAAGATAAGGTCAACATTTCTTATTTAGCATGACATTCACTCACTCACTAGAACCACCATGGTAAACAAAGGTCAACATACAGTTGTTTTTGAACACATAAAGTTGGACTTATCCGATCAATTAAGATAGCTTCGAGTAGTTTGAGTGTGTGTGGATTTTGATGACATATCACAACTGTGAAGGCTAATTATGGGTCAATTTGATGACCACTCATCATTAGATGTTTTGCAATGGACGAGGCTGGGTTTCTTGATCGATTTTGAGATGACGGGCACAATAACAAAGGTCCTGGGTTCGAATCCTGCGGGGTGCAGGAGTCGTGGATGCGCACTGCTGAGGAGTCCCATACCAGGACCAAACGGCCGTCCAGTGCTTCTTCCAGGTTTCTAATGGTGGTCTAACATTGATCGATTCATAGTTTCAAAAATGTGTAATCTTCGATTTGATTAACCAACCATTTTGGAATATGTTCCCCTATCCTGTCTTCCAATCGGCGATCTGTCCTCCCTAAGTAACTTTCTCCGCAGTTACATGTGCTTATTTATTTTATTATCTCATTGTATTGTTCTAAAATTCAACTGATGGTCACATCCTGCTTATGACACTGTTTATTACCATTTAAAAATGATTTTTTCATGCTTACGGCAATGAAATCAAATGCTTACTTACTTACCTACTTACTTATGCACTTACTTACTTACTTACTTACTTACTTACTTATGCACCTACTTTCTTACTTATTTACGCCTGTTACCCACGAAAGGAGCATAGGCCGCCGATCAGTTTTTTCTCCAACCACCGACCAAATCAAATACTTGTCCATTACTATTATTGTTCATGAAATGCTAGTTAGATTGCGCCAAAAATTGTATCGATTATGATTAAAACTGAAATAGAATAAGACAAACAAACTAGTTAGTGGTTATTTAGTATTTAGATTTTTAAAACAAACTAGGACGTTCAATATTCTATGAATAATAATGGAATCAGATGATCAGAGTGATATTTCATTTTTTTCTGATTGACGTTTACTTTTCGTTTGAATCTTTTGAAAGTGTTTACTTGTTGATCAGAAATCTATTCTGTTGATATATACACATATTAAAACATTATGGCTGCCACATTATTCAAATTGTTGTTTTAAACAGCAAAAATTTAACAATTATTATCTTATCAATTAAAAAAAATTAGAATTAACTTAAATTGACGTATCAATCTTACACATATATATATATATATATATATATATATATATTCGTGTGATCTTTGTATAAAAGCAACAACCGTATAGTGTATTCTTTCACACCAGCTTTGATTCTACTATTAGTCACGTTGGGTTTTTCTTTTGTGATCAATAATTTCCAATAGTGATTTTGATTGAAAAACATTTTGCACTAACAATAAGCATGAAATGTGTAATTCAAAGTGTATACCAGTTTTGTGTAAGATTTGAAAATCTAATAAAAGATTAATTCATGTCAAGTTGTTTGTGTCAGTGTGTTGTTAGATGCAACGTAGAACTTTGTACATAAGTACATCAGTTCATGTTGACATACCACATATTAGCACAGAAATATAATTATCAACTCGAATCCAATAGTAGAAGAGGTAGTAAAGGTATTAGAAGTAATCCGAGAGGTTAGGATTAGAAGATATTATTCAAGAAGTATGATTCAATGAGAAAAGTTTAGAAAGACAAAACTAGAGGGACTGAAGAATCCAGAAGATCGTGATTTGAGCGAACAAAAAGAATGAATGAACCGGCGCCATTGCAAACGGTTTTCAGCCATGTCATTCAAGGTCTCTAACCATCGATTATTATCATCTCGCGGATCTAAACCAGGTAGTCGACAATAACCAACATGGCTAAGTCCACTCGTCAGTCACTTCATGGATTTGTGCCATGTTTTGGTTTGGCCGCCCGTAGCTTTCTTCCAACCTATTCCTACACTACAAAACAAGGCTCGACGAGGCAGTCGGTGGTTGGGCATACGCAACACATGTCCCAACCACCTCAACTGATGAAGTTTCAGCACTTCATCTATTGATCTGCGATTCTTACCTAGCAACCGATTCCTAATAACAGCGTCGCTCAATCGAGTGTCCCAGGATATACGAGCAATGCTTCGAAGACACCTATGATCGTAAACCAGCAACCTACGAATATCTTCTACTCTCAGTGGCCACAGCCATAAAGTAAGACGGAGCGAGCTACTGCGCAGTACACTCGTCCTTTAGTCAGCAAACGGATATCTCACCTACGCCATAAGTGACGCAGGTTGGCAAAAGCTAATCGAGCCTTCTGTATCCATGCTAAGATTTCGTCAGTCACCAGGCCATCAGCACTGATGAGACTCCCCAGATAAGTGAAGCGGTCTACACGCTCGACTACTTCGAGTTGTTTGGTAAACGGTTGTTAACAAATATTCATTTCATCTATTTAGGATAGTTATTGATTTACTGGGATAATCAAAAAGTCGACAAGTATACATATATAAAAAGAATACTGATGTAATATTGTGAATCAGTGTGTCTCTCTCTATCACAATAAACATTCTCTTTCACTCTTAGTCCACTCACCACACAGTAGTTGATTGAGGTCTTCCATTAATGCTCCTATTAATGCCAAACATCGCGAGTTATAACAGCCAGTTAGTTCATTTAGACGAAAATTGAGTATGTGTAAGTTATATGAACTGATAACTGTTTAAGTAATCATCTAAAAAATTAACATATATGCAAATGATGCTTATAGATTTAACTTATGTGCAGGTATGATATTTAAGATGTAAGAATGGAGTCTTGAAAATGGGGAAATAAAAGTTTTTTTTCTTCAAATACGGAATAGTTTAAGCGTACTTCTAGTTCATCTGCTGCTATTGGATGTTTGGTTTCAAAATAAGGTTTCTGCTGTTAAAACTGTCAACGAAATGCATCGAAATGCATTTATGTGGAACTTTGCATTAAACCAGTTTATAAGTTGAGTGGAATTCTTTCATCACAAAAAAACTATTATTGTTTCGCTAATATGTTGACTCGTGTACGTACGCACACACGCACACACAGAAATGGAATCAGTTAAAGAGTGATGTTTTAATTATTATTTTTCGTATCATTTCAAACTTAACAATGATTTCGTGAAACTTATGAAGTTATGCAAGTTTCTGGTTAGCTTCTTTTAGCGAGTTCGTTTTCTACAGGATGGGGGTCGCTAACTCCATATCCAACCCTCCACCTTTATCCGGGTCTGAGACCGGCAGTAGCCACAAAGTGGCTACAGACGGAGTTAAGTTACACGAGAAGTTTGATAATAATTAATAACTATAATATGAAGTATTGGAGCATTGTAAATTCACCTAAATGTACAGGCTTTCTACATATATATATATATATATGTTAGGTTCGTCTCTAGGTATGCTTAAAACTATTTATGGTTTCACCTTAGTCGAATAATGAGAACAAAACAGTAAACCATCCTCCAGATAGGCTACTGTGATCCGATTGTCCCAGTTTGTATCAGCCAGACGTCTTGATATAGTGTAGATATTGTATTCTACAAACATCCAGCCAGCATACAATGAATCGAAGCACTCAAATTGCATTTATTTATACCCTATAGAGACGTCCTTGGGACAGTCACAAAAATCGCATACTAAAATGACACAGTAACCAATCACAGCTGCGGATTTTCCTGTTGGGAAATGTGATCTCAAGGGGCAACTGATC